TGGCCGCTATTCGGCCATCGTTAATCGGATCATGAAAAAAATGCATGTGCATATGTCCCATATAATGTGTGATGTATGAGTGAAGTTTGAACTTAATCGGTCCATGCATGTTCGAGATACTGGTGATCACGGACGCACGCACGCACACAGGGCAAAACATAAGTCCCTGTTTTCGGACTACGTCCGAACGGGGACTAAAAATGTATATTCGCTGGATTTTGTTTTCACTGAATCATCCCCCTTCAGTGAAAATTAATTCAAAGCGAAAATAATGTATTTTACAGTAGAAGCCACAACCATTTCGTGATTTGTTGCCAAACCAAATGATTTCATCATTTCTTGTGGTGATCACAATAATCAGTGGACGGTGTTAAAACATCAGTTCAGGACTGTCAATGACACTGGAAACACACATCCACGCAATTATGAATGAATGAACATTGCCTAATATTATATACATCAAGTGTTACCTTTTCTCTAGAACTTTCTGCAAATTTCTTTTTGCATCTGTCCTTTTCTTGATTGGCAAGTCATTCAAACCCTGGTAACACAAGTACAGATATTGGATGTAATACTGGAGATGCATATATTGTATACTACTGTAAAAGGGGGTAATTATTCACTGGGTTTTAATTTTGCTTATTTCGCTGACTGGAAATTGCGCTAAATTAAAACCCAGTGAATATGTAAAATTGAGCATAGAACACATTATCTAAATGATAAAAACCCACTGAATGTTCCTGAAATGCTAAATCAGTGAAATTTACGAGTGCCAGGTTGAGTAGTGCAGTTACAGGAAGGTGGACTCTCCATGCACTCTACTGACAAACTGAGGTCTGCTGTGATGAAACACTATTTCAATGGCATCCATTGACGCAATAGAAAAACATGTATTGTTATAGTGATCTTCCAAAACCATCTTTATTGCAGTTACAGAAATTTCAATTAGGTAAAACGAAATTCACAAATGTTAAGCTTGAAACATAAAAATGAAGGAAGTCTTGGGTCCACAACATTCATATTTGCCCCCCCCCCCCTAAAAAAAATAGTAAGGAGCATAGTGCAATGAACATCAGTGCCTATACTGTGAAAACAGGTCAATTAAACAATGTCCTTTTCTATATACAAAGTTAGCATTTCCATTCATATATCATGGCAATTATTTTAGACAAAGTTGATACTTGTATAAAGCTTACCTGTACAACATGAAGTGTAGCTGGTAGTCCCTGGCCAAACAGACAAGAGAGACAATGATCCCCAAATTTATCCCATCCATTATCAGCGGACATTACACATAGTAAACTGTCCGCGACCTTAGCAATGTCCAGTATAGCTGTCATACCATCCATAGACGGGGCAATAAATGAGACACGACTTTTAAATCTAGGTACACTGAAACCAGAACATGGTTTATATCTTACTGTTATTATAATGTTCTTACATATTAAAGAAATATGTAGTAGTAACAATTTCCTCGAAAGGTTTGTCAAATCACAGTCTTGCAGTCATCAATATGATGCAAATAATAGAGGTAGATGTGTAGATGTAATCAGTGAGTGAACAAATCACAGCTACATATCTACATACAGAGATGTATATATTTATCTTGTAGGGAAACTCTACTGAATGACAAGACCATTGTTATATATACCAGACATTAAGACTTCCCCTTAATAATTGACAGTGTTTATAAAGCTAACCATGTTAATTGATAATTGTTAATCAGACAATGGTTTTTAGTGCAAGACAGTTGTGAATGGTTCCGATGACTGCATCAAATTTCTAAGAATCCCAGTACCGGTACTTAGGTTGTACTAATTCTTGTAATGACAACATGACAGAGGAGTTATCTAAGTTAACTTTTTAAACATATTATTTCTTCTATTTTGATGACATCATACACATTTCTACATGTATATGTTCGCATTATCAGCCACGATAATTTTCTGATTATTTTGACTGTTTTTAATTAGCGCCCTCAACGGAGCATGAAATGTGTGCTTGATTGTTTGTTTTATATGGCTGCTGTGACTGTGGTATGTTGGTCAGTTATATGGATGGATGGTTGCGAGGGAGGGGGGTGTAATAGAAGGAATTTATCATTAGGCAACCATAATGAATACATTGCTTGGTAAGAGTTTACTATATATGGGTTTAATTCCGGTTGTTTTTGGTCATAATTATATGAATTCCACATCTGTATACATTCTTTTTGAAATCGTTTATGTGTAAGTGTGTTCTGATACAAATTTGGACTCCATTTAATAAAATATTTTAGAAATTACGGTGAAATTTTAATTTGCAAGGGGAGTTGTCATGAATGTTGAAATATTGTAATCGGCTCAAGTACAAGGTTGAGTGAGATATACTTGATGGAGAAGTGTGTTCTTAGGCAGATTATAATTGTACACTATTTTCTGATTGGTCAATCACAGAAAATGACTACTTTGCCAAGAAAGATATAAATTAATGTTCAAGAATAGCCTGTGTGTGTAGAAGGTTTCTTGCTTATAAACATATACTGGTAATTGATGTTGATTACCGGTACCTTAGTTACGAGGTTAGTTTGTGGTCACGGTATAGCGCAATCCCAAGCATATCATCATATTCATTATTTGTAAATTTTGGACTCAATGAACAATTTCACATGGACAAAACATACCTACAAGTACATATAGTTTTTGGATTGTGCACTTCAATTATATTCTGATCATGCAATTTTCAGCTCAAAATGGCCGTTTCACAGGAGGACTTAACTCGGTAGGAAAATCACAGAATTGACACAGACAGTACTAGTACTAGTCATTTAGCTGTATTCATCCATTAAAGAATATTGTATTCACTATATCAGTAGTGCATTGTGTTGATGTAAATGACAAACTGTGTGTCTGAGGCCAAAGTAAAATATATAATACAGTATATGCAATTTTTGGTTAATATTGTAGTCTACACATGAACCAAAACTCAAACATCATTTGAAATATCAGTCATTGGAACTTTTTCAACTTACACAATATTCGTTATGTTGTTATTGTGCGTAATTATCACAGATTCTTCGCACGACTTCAGAGAGTTTAAAACTTTGTTGACATCAATATCAGAAGACAATGGTATGATGCCCTAATAAGAGATATGAAAACTATAATTAAAGATACAAAGTTATTCAGATACAAGATGCATGGCTTTTTGAAAAGGTTTCTATAATGCAAATGTGTTGTGATGAAAGAGTGAAGTAGTAGTCCACGTCATTCCTTTTATGTCATGGTTATTGTTTTGTATTAAGATTATTTAATACAAGAAGCTACGAGTTTAATGTTTAACATTTATTCACCAATGCCTTTAAAAACATGCACTGTAGGTTGTTTTGAGGCAACATGATATCTTCTGAAACAGAAAACAAAACAATTACCCTAATTCTACCATATGTGGCCCAATTTACCTGTACACAAAAATTAAAAAATATTCACGAGGCACAAGTTTCAAACTTTTGTAATAAAGATACAATTTGTGTTTAAACATGGTCAATAATGTGATGCTGCAGTTACACTTAGTGTCATGGTTAATTCTTACCACTAGATGTGGAGCACCAGATGCTGTACCAATATTTCTTTTTTTCATAATGACTTCTCCTCGTTTTCTCATCATATTCTGTTTTGCCTGCAAAAATCAAAGAAACCTTAGAAAAAACTCCTGTGTGCTGGAGTATTGGAGGCATATTACCAGTAATAGTTAATTCAAAATCTAAGATTACCCTTTCAAACAAGACGCTTGGTAACTAATGTCTGCTATTTGAGATGCACAACATGAAAACTAAAGAAAAAGACTCTCACTGCCAGCGAAGTAGCCAAGTCAGTCAATGTACAGTGGGTGCATGGACCAACACTAAAACGGAAACAATCACAAAATGGATCCGTAAAGGGGGCTTCAAGATAAAAAATGAAATGACGATGACAAAGAAACAGACAACAAAGAAATCACAAAACTCATTCAGTAAGTTGCAGACCCGCAAATACAGTGTAATAAGTAATAAGTATATCGACTGAAGCAACGTATGACCACAAGTGGGGAATTTTATTGCAGACAAGGAAAACCAAGAATCCAATGATATATATAAATTGCTAAGACAGTCAAATTATCGGCCCACACAACATCAGTGACTTGACATGTTGACGAGATTACTGAATTTTGCGATGAATAAAAGACTCCTTACTTAGCTATCCAAGACCTCAAAATTCTAACCAAAAACAAAATCGTTGAAAGAAAGATGTCGTTTAAAGCAGTAATCACACATTTTTTTTTACATCATAATTTGATAGCAAAATCAACTTTCTGCATAAATTATGATAATTGTGCTCATATGAATTCGCGATGTGATGACCATGTCATTCAAAATGAACACCTTCAGATACAATATACAGAACTTAGTCTGTTGCAACTTTTTGAGTACTAAATGATTACTATTACCTTAGTTATCTTAATATTTATTGATTTCATATATATGTAAATATCACCGATTCATGTCTTGTTTGGTAAATTATTTGGTTTAAACAATACATGAATGTAAATAAAATCACTGGAGCCAAAATGCACTGTCTTTTATTTGCCTAATGTTTACAGCACATGTAATTGTTGTTTCAATTGTAGTCACGCCCACCTAAATAAACCGCCTCCCTCTGAAAACCGACCATAGATCTCAGTCCCAGCCATGGTCGATTTTGACAGATTTTACTCTACCTTGTTTCTACGATCTACTTTTCTCATCTCATTTCTGGCTCTCTTGCTCAGTACCTTGGCTCCAACCTTTCCTGCCATATTGAGAAGAGAAAAAGTTAAAGTATTAACATGTAAATAATGAGATAAAGATCGAGATCTCAGTCGAATCATGCACGTACTAGAGATGGACGCTGCACGGTGTTTACTCGCTTTGATGTATGTGCGTTGCCGCCACCAGATTACTGTAAATCCAGATCGTGTCTGCATAATTTCCTATCCACGGAAAACGAACACGCCTGATTATAGCTCGGTTCATCTTCGTTTTGTCCCAAACGCCCCAACGATCTGTTTCTGATCGTCAAGAGAAAACCAAATGGCGACGAACAGCCAACAGAGAATGTTTGGTTTCGGTTCGGATTTTGTTGATCCCGACATTTTAGAACTAGACGATAATGATTTTGATATTTAAAACATTGAAACTGTCGACTCAGTCGTCCCTGAAGAAGACGAACAGCAGTATTGTTTCTCGCGAGAGCCCATCATGAACATGAAAGCTAATGTTAAAGAAGTCCATGTTTAACATCGAATTACGGCGACCAAACTTTTCCGAACATTTCAAGCTTTGTGCCATCTGTAAATTTCACTTGAATTGAACATCGGATAAAAAAATCGTCATCCGCTCACACCGGGTTTACTGGCAATATTAAATTAAAATTGTTAACAAATGCAGAAGATCGGTACAAACATGCTCAAAAACTTGCCTAGAATATACGGATCTGCGTTAAACCTTCGATTTACAACTTAACATTGTACCAGCTCACGGGCAAGGTCTGTACTATTTTTTTTACCCAATATAATATATAATTTAAGATTCAAATCTTGTCGTGAAAAATCAAAACTAAGATCGGGCGGCAACTCAGCCAAGATGAAAGTACGTCTGTCTATTCATAAATTTAAAATGAGTACAATAGAAAGACAATGCGTCTTATCAGGAGTGAATCACCGTGCAGCGTCCATCTCTAGTACGTCCATGGACAAATAAAGAAAGGTAGGTATTTATAGGTAATTTGAAATTACTTTGGTAGCTTACATGTGTTTACAATTGATGTGTATCTTTTTCATGATTAACCATATAAAACTTACTTGTATATATTCTGTAAACAAAAAATTTTACTGTGACGACTGGCAAAATAATTGTGGTGTTGCCATATACATTACCTCCATGCCATATATGTTAAGGGACACTGGAGGGGCAAAGCTGGGATTACTGATTAGAGTGAGTGAGTGGGCCCAAGGCCTAAGAAACTTTTCTTTAATTAAATACTGAACGTAACACGGCTAAGAACACGACACTTATCATCGGGCCCGGTATCATTGGGCAGTGGGACGTATAATATTTCAAAATTCGCAGGATATACGTTATCCCACGAGATAAACGGTGCGCATTGAAGGTCTCATGCCACTAATTAACCAATGGCTGCTCGTAGCCCTCAATTTAAATGCCCAGCAAGAACCAATGAAATTTTTTAAATATTATTTTTCTCAGGTGCTCCCTGTTTGAGGGCGTAATCACCTGGGTCAGAGGTGAGACCAACATGTGGTCTTTTGTTTACTACTTAGCGGCTGTGTACCTGTGGGTTTATTCTGTGTGTTAATGGATGTTCTAATCTTGGTGTTTTTCCAGTGATTTCTCTTGGTGCAATCCAAATACAGTAGGTGTGTCTTGTTTACCTGAGATTTGCAAGAGTTTGAGCTGGCCAACATGTTAGTTTTTTTCATATGGTTGATTACTGGCATGTTGATTTCCCATTTTTGAGCCATATTTTCAACTTTCTTCGTCATTTTCATATAGCAATCTCGTCATATGTTAACATTGTCGTCTATGGAAATTCAATTAGTGGTATGAGCCCTGCAGACATGCGTCCATTTAACAACAACGACAATCAGCTGTTAAAAGTACTCCTCACACGTGTTCAGATTGGCCAGCGAAAATTCATGAATAATGACGATGGACACAATGTATCCACAAACTAGTGGCGTCTATATCCTTACCTTTAGTGTCTTTATCAATAATACCCTTGCTTCGATGACGTCCTGTTTTGTGGGACTTGTTTTTCTGTTTAAAAATCCCCGGTCTGTGACTGTGTTCGCTGTCGGCCGCCATGTTGAATTTCCCAATCCAATGCAATGCATCGTGGGTTTAGAGCGCCATCATCTTACACTATTCAAGTGCTTTTGTTTTTGTGTTTTTAAAGTTCGGCAAATTCTGCTAAAGATAAGCACGCGCGGATTTAAGGGGAAGTGCGCCGCCCTTCAGCCCGCAAAAAACAAATTGACAAATCAATTGACAAACCCAGTCCACCGGAGGTCCACTTCGGCCACATCAATAGGAGCCCCAATCAAATTTCTGGACCCGCCAGTGATACAATGCAAGTGCATAGGAACAAAAGATGTTACAAACATCGAGTTACAAAAATGTCCACGCCCATATATTATAAACCACACCCACTTTTAAGAAACCACGCCCAAAACTAGATGCTCACATTAACAGTTAACAGAGCTTCGATTTACGCGCTTCTTTGAACGTCCACATTTAGTAACAAGTTTCGTGTATAGGCAATATATGCCACTTCTAGTTTTTTTAATAATACGTTTTGTCAATTTATTATATATGAGTTTACCTTTACCAACTACCTTGGAAAAATGTAACAATTTGCATGTGAACCGTAATGCTGCTGCAGCTTTAATTTTGTGTTTATTTTACTTTTATATTTCTGTTGATACAGATTGGCTCAACAAAAAGTGTAACAGCAGTTACTAGAAACGGTGTGTAACTCATTTATAACTAGTGGTGAAAAAACACATTTCCATCATTAGGATGTGTAACAGTAGTTAATGGATTTGCTAACACGCTCTCTGAACTTGTATACACGGGGGAAATAATGATACAGTTGTGCTAAAAGCACCGACGAGCGACAGTTCAACAGAAGGCACGTGCAAAATTTTTATTATGTAGTTATTTTATTTCAATTTCTGTTGATATAAATTCAAGTTGGCTGAACAAAAATCAGTGTAATCAAAGTTATTAGAAGAACACAACCAGTGCCTAACACTTCTGTGACCAGTGCCCTGAAAACACAACCCCCACCCCAATTCTGACTAAATTGTTAATAGATTTGCTAACATACTCTCTGGACTTATCTATACACATTTGCGATCAAATAACTATTTTAGACAGTAACCAAAGTTTATTTGGAAAAATTCTTGTGACACAGTTATATTGAATGTAAATGACACTTTAATTGTTTAATCAAAAAACCAACATTACTCTGCTAAGCTTTACGCTTGTACAACACAACCGAAAATGACAAACATGGACAAATTAATAATGTCTTGTAATTATCAAGCACAATAACTTTAAAGGTCAATCAGGTTCTGCCGTCAGCCACTACGTTGTGTTATTGCCCCTCACAAATTTACCACTGTTGACACTATTTCTATAAGGTAAGGTAAGCGAGGTGTGCCAAATATTAATATGTAATAGTTTATTCGTGTTAACCATCCGATCCATTTAGTATATGAAAAAAAAAACACACATTTACTGGGTCTGGACGTGGACAGAAAAACATAATATGAAGTTACAATTGCCCTTTAATGCATAGGAAATGATTGCTACACGTTCAATGTCACTCTCATTATCTGATGCCATAAGTTTATAAAAATCAAATTGTGTGGTAGATTTTGTAAATACCCTGGAAGAAATGTGTATATGAGCGTAGTGAGGTTGGAACATTCTAAAAGGAAATGAAACTATTCTTCAAATTCATTCAAAAACAGGCTACAAATTCTGTGGCGGGGCATAGTCTCTACGTAGTTTTTTCTTTAATTGAAAGCTTCAAATTAAATCAATATTGCTTATAATGATTTGTTTTCTCACTCGAAGAGATGTCAGAATGCTAAATTCGTCTTCCAATCTTCCCCCAAAATTATACATGGCGTAGTTGGATGTTGCCAATCCTAAATATTGTTTACAGTAATCTGTATGAACACTTTCAAAGTTTCAAAGAGATATGTCTTGAACCCCCACATTTCGCTGTCATGTGAAATTACAAGAAATATCATAGTAAAAATATTTTAAAGTATGTATCAACTTGTAGAGCCTCGGTATGTTCAATTTTTCAATGTACAACATTAATCTTTTGTCTAGATTTCATCGACAGGCGTTTGGTAATTTGTCATGAACATTTACAAGAGACAATTAATCCTAAATATTCGTATAAGCTCTCGACCCGAACTAGTTGGCTCCTAAAATACCAAATCTCGCCTTACCTAAATTGCCGCCATTTTGGTGTACTACTATTTAGTTTTTGACAGGTTTATAGACATATACATTTCTGTATATAATCGTGCAGTACGTTGATAATACTTGTGACAAACTTGTGACAGCATTTGTCATAAAATAATGTCATCAGCAGCGTGCAAATGATTGAAAAAGTTTAACCTATCGTTCGATAATAGTTGTATACCCCTCCATTTCGTTTATAAAGAGAGAACATAAAATAGGGCTAAGTAAGCATCCTCGACGAACACCCTTCTCTAGTGGAAAATATGTGTATGTTGACCCGCATACCATAACACAAGATTTAACATCACATCAGGCAATTTCCATCAATAGAACTAAAAGTCTCGACATATAAGCAATATATTCTACCACTCTTGCCTAGTAGGTATTTTTGAATTATAGCTTAATATGCCTTTGGAGAACGGGGTGGGGTGTCCATAGTTAAATATAATGTTCAATAGGGTATGCAAAAAATAGAAATTTCGAGATTAGATTAGATTATTCATTATTATTGACATCACTTTGTCCTAATTGTTACAGATTTGTAAAGTATTGTTCCCATCTAGTTGAGGATTAAAGTATTATACATGTTTTTATAATATTCCATCTGCACTATTTCTCAACTCTTTGGATTTCGTAACCTCGCGAGGTTGTTATATGTATGCCATCCTTGTATAATTCCAAATCATGCTTGGTACTACTACTACTACGGAATTACCGAGGTCACCCATGCATGGTCAAACCAGGACATGTAGCCGGGTTTTTGTTGTGGTGGGGGTGTACTGACTATCATAAGAGTGTGGCATTCATTGTGTCAGAAAGTCTTGATTGATGACAATTTGAATACTACTTTTGTCCGTTCTCTAATCTCTACACAGAAACTCTGACCTGGGTCCTCCTCGTAAGTAATTTATAAAAATACGATCTGACGTGTTGTGAGACCAAAGACCACAGTCCCTTGATGAAATGTAGGAGTACGCGGTACCTATGAATAAGAGTCATGCTCTGAGCAATGTAATGACCCATCGGCTGAAACACGCATACTGAGATGTATTTGACTATAGATTCAGTAGTTCGTATGCGTTTATATTCTGACGTTACCCTGGATAAATGAGGATCGTTTTGAAAAATTCCACATAAAACATGGTAATCGTGTCTGTATTGTTCAATATTAGAAATAAAATACAATGAATATATGTACTATGTATCGATGCGTATCAAACAGTACTTGAGTAGTAGTGTGAATGAAAACTTTCAAGATTCAGGAAGGAGATCAAAGATCAAGATTTCCCGAGGTTGGGTGCCAAAACTATGTTTGGGGTAAAGATTGAAACCAAAAATCAACCTGAAGGAATGTCTAAACCAGGCCACCTCGCTATGTGGATATAAATACAAGACTGTTAACATCTGTATGGCAAGAATACAAATAAGATGACAGACATGCATGCAAATATTATTTCGTACAAGAGATTTAATACTCTTTGAATTGGTGTTGCGTGACTGCATAACACACAACTCGTCTTATATTGTCCATGTTCAACTTATAATACACGTTTTCCATGACAATTTAATTACAGATTTCCAATGGTCCACCAACTATACATTCTCTTGTTGTTGTTTTTGATGAGAAAACACTCACTCCATTACAACCTGGTTGTCATGTGTTCTGGCACCTTCGTATGTGCTAATCTAGCTCTTGGAACAGGGGATATTTCAATGACATGGATATATCACGACTTTGTTAGATTCAATGATTCAAACCACGATTGGCACTTGATGTCCAGCACACCTTCTGACGTCACTTTTAATAACTGTCCATCACTATGGCCAATTGATCCTAATAAAATAAGATAAATGTTGGACACTGGAGTATGGAATGATGTAAATAAGACAAATTGCATGCACAGTGTTCTGTGTTGGTGAGATACTGCAGCTGAAGTCAGCCATTGAATTCTCTTGCAACGCCAAGAAACAAAATAGAGTATACTAATCATGATATTTTTTTCGACCTACTAAATTATAGCTTCCATTCGTATTTTGATTCAAATTGAAATTCAACGTTATTTTATGTTAAGTGTATTTATCAGGGACTCATGAAATGAACACTTGAACAAGTTTGCATGAACATACGCTCCACTCCGTCACCTTATGTTTATACATGTATAAAGTTTATCGCATTCTATTTTGTTTCTTGAGGCTGCAATGGAAAGTCAAAGGCTGGCTTGCCCCGGTAGGAATAATGGTCAAAAATGCTTTTTTGATGAATTTTGTTTAGTATTAGCATAGGTACATTTCATATAACCTGTTCCACTTAGTTATCACATTTAGTAGCACAAAATTTGTTTTGTCCCAGTATTGAAAACAACAGTGCATGGAATAGTGGCAGTGAATCAACTAACAAATTCACAATTGTCTTGCAAACTTTGTGTATAGCACTACTGTGGTTATGTACCATAATGGTGGTCATTTTATTGGAGCCTAGAAAAAAAGTGATGGCAAATTTAATTAAAAATCAAATTTGTTTCCAAAATTAAATTAAATTAATTAATCAGTAAAAAATAGGGTACACACTCTGAGGGGTAAAACATAACTTACCTTTTAACAATTTAATTTTTGCATCATTGTCTTCTTTTGTCTTTAAAACATTCAATTTATTGTCAATATTAATCTCTTTAGCTTGAAGATCTAGTTCAGTATTTGCAGATTCACTTAGTTTCACCAAAATATTGCCTGCACAGAATAAGTAATAACCAATAGATTAATAATTCTAGCATTTGTGTCCGAAAGAGAGCATCATAATCAAGCGAAATACTCCTATACCAACCATTTTTATTTGCCAGGCTGACTTGACCATGTCTTGTTATATGTACATCAATATTACCGTTTATGGTAGATGCTGTCATATCACCATCAAGTGTGTCTGTAGAAAAAAACAAAACAAAGAAATGTTAAGAAACTATGATGTTTGTGTTTACACTCAATAACAATGGAAGCCTTTGGGGGCAGTATACTCATGCAGCATGTCTCTACCCAGGAGCAAATTACAGTGTGGAATAGATGCTATGCACATCCACAAGCAAGAAATGAACCATGGCAATAATATATGTGTAGAACACTTGAACATGATTACATTAATGCCATGGAATTCGATTCTGTTTAAGAAGTTATATTACATTGTATTATTATCAACAAATTAAAGTTGTATTGTCGGCAAAATCCTTTTTTTAAAACCTTTGACATGCTAAGTAGAATGTGTACTAAAATAAATGCAACAGCTTTGGTATTTGCAAGATTTTCGCCTTACCAATAGCCAAACATGATTCTGTAGTTCTGTAGATTTAATTTTGATCAAGTTGTCAGTATCTTAAGTGGTCATCGAGCCACCAAAAATCTACAGAGGGTTCTCTGTTCAATGTTTGAAGATGAACAATATTACAAAATTAATATTCGATGTGAAGCATTTTCCATTGAGATAAGTCAGGGCTGTACATCTGACTCTTGAGATATTTCTTGTATTGTTAATAGATCTCTTCCTTTCACATGAGCTTTAACATTGAACAATACATACTTCTTAGGTTAGTTGTGTTTATCATGCAATTGAATCAGAATTGGTACAGCAATGTATGATGGGAGTTGTAGACAATAAATACCTTGAACTCAATGAACTGCACAATGTATCAGTTTAATCAGTATAACTTACAATTATATAGTCATAACTTTATGATTTGATTTCTGGCTATATATTCAAATTGTTTTTGTCGAAAATACAACTTTAAGTAAGGGTAGGAATTTTGCAAATAACAAGAGAATTCCTACTAGTAATACAGTGATATTTTTGCCTGATTTCAAATTTCATAGTGAATAAGATGTAAATATTTTTGTTCATTGTACACTTTAGTTAAAAATGTGTGCATGACAGTTTTTGTTAGGGTTTTTGCCAGAATTTGAGAAAAAATGAAAGAAAATGGCTTTTTTCAAACATCAAAATCAAAGCACAAATTACACAACTTACCAATGGTGATGTTTCCATGACAACTTGATACATTTGAAGATCCATGTAAGTTACCAAGTCTAATATTACCATTGTTACTTGTGAATTCTGATTTGTTATGGTAGACTGCTTTGACTGATATCGAACCTTGTTCGGTCGCAGCCTTCATATTCATGCCATAGAGTTTCTCTGCATCAAAACACTGCAAGTATTGGATGAGTTTTTGTAAATACCAAAGAAGCACATGCACTAAGTGTACTGGTTCATTAAAATAAGATTATTTTGACCACAGAGAAACTATGAATAAATAAACAGCTGCATAGTAAGTAATAATACAGTGCTGGTTATCAGAACAATCAAAATTATCTTACATTTTGTATTTGCATATATTTTATTTTTTTATTTATATTTTTACTATATTTATAATCAGTTGGTAATTCATTTTAATTTTATTTTTTATTACATAAATCATATTTAGTATTATTTCAACTATCAATGTGGGTTTTCATAAATTGAAATAATACCAACTGGTGAGAATACAAGGCGGTGCTATGCGAGATCTTGTGCAAGTCAGCAAATGAGTACCGGTATGTCACATTCCATATTTTAATGCATTTCCAGCAGTATTCTTACTATAATATGAAAATAACTCACCCCCGATCCTTGTAAACATATTTCACCATTAGCTTGTAAAGTTTTTGTATTAAGAAAGTCTCCATGTGAGCTTCTGACATCCAAATCAGTACACTGGTGGGGAGAAATAACAGGTACGTGTTATAATATACATTGATTGATTCTGGCTCAAGAATGTTTGATTTCGTTATCATAGCAGGTATACACACACAGTACTTGCTGTATTAGTAGCCCATATATTTACATAAATGTGGGCATATCCATGGTCAAATAATTCAGTATACAATACAGCTTTCCCCTGAATTTCAAGAATAGAGGTTTATGTACCCTCTTGTTTATAAAAAAGGAAACACAGAAACAAGTGATGACAAAATTTACTTTATCATTCCATTATCATTTTCGAAGTTGAGAGGTTTCCTGTACCCGTTTGTTTATAATGTGAAGGTGCAAAATCAAAAGTATGTAATTTATAAATAAATAAATAAAAAAAATGTACACTTACTTTTATGTTTGTTAAACTGCAGTTACCATTTTCTGTCGTAATTTGACATTTTTCATTTTCCATATTGTGAATAGTAATATTCCCCTTTTTCATCATACTGGCATTAATATCTGAAACATATTGAAAAGTAAAAGTCTTCCATTTTTAAATAAATGTCCAATTCCGCATGGTGTGCCATGTGATGATAAATTTCTCCGGATTAATAGAAACAGCGCCCTCTATGATTTATTACAGAATGATCTGCAAGTAATGGAAATATATAGTCTTCACTATACTCTTATACCATTGAATAAATTCCATTACACTTCATTCATTCAATAATGATGGATGAGCCAGAGATGCGGCAGCTTTATTTACAGACGTGGATAAAAAAAAGAAATTATTACATGACACGTTATACCAGGGTGGGCTGTTACTTTACGTGATCTCTCTGTTATCCTATGTCCACCACCCAGGAAAAAACAGAGGTAAAAACCCTACACTTTATATTGCGGGAAATTCTCTGGAAACCTGTGTCCGAAAGCAATGCAGCACATAGTACAGGGACAGTGTCGGACTGCACTGTTATCACATAAGGGAAAAGCTAAATGAATTTTTAAAATTAATATTTGATGTAATTGAACTTGAACGTCTGTGAGCTGCTGAGTTGCTGACTAGATTGACTAAATTCCTACTGCTTCCCGCTATTCCCTGTCTGAATGCCCCGACCATCTCATCAATTACTGTGACCGTAACATTGAAGACAGTATTTTCCCTCTATACTATCGAACCGAGGGAAAATATATATACAGACACAGTTACAGTCGATAGATTTGCTTTCAATGAGTTAAATCCCTTCCCGAATGACTCCCTGATATTAAAAATATCTCTCCCCGACTTCCGCACTCATAATTGGCCAGAGAGAATAATATACAGAAGCAATCTTACCATATTTTACTGGCACTCGTATTACAAGTTGTACATCATGATTACTATCGTGAACGTCCGTGACATTGTGGTCACAATACACTGTGATGCCACGAGTTTCATCATGTTTCACGCCCAACTTGTATTGATGTGAACGAGACTCCATCATGTCGGATTTCTTGTTTACGATCACAAATGATCTGTTCCCGTCTGGGTAGTCGAGTGGGTCGATGGATGAAATGGTGACGTCATATGGACTGCAGACTGACAATGTACCGAAGGGGTTCACTGTAAACTCCTTGATTTCTAACTCGCGATGGGGAACATTTGATGTTTGTCGTGTACATTGGTATTGGTAATGTTTCGGTGTCTGAAGAAATATTCCAGTGCCAGTACAGTGGGGCAGTAGAGCGGGCATAGAAAGTGACCACTCACGGCCGCCAGACAGCTTTGGACAGCACCTTGACGACACTCGTAGCACTGACCAACACAACGACATTTCTCAGCGATCAAATTCCCAGCACCACAGGGCGAATTTCGTCTGTCACGACGGTAATTTGCAGACAGCTGAACCGGTGAACCGGAAGTGAAGTGCGCCCCCATTAACAAACCCTAGTGTGCTATTGTTTTTCTAACAAAGTGTGACATGGTTTGTTCGACACTTACTAGTATACGACATAATACATGTACTACTATCGACCACGGTACAACAACAAGCTTACTGCGTGTTCATAAATAAATTACGGTATGTGAATGTTTAACCATAATCAACAAACTAGGTTAACCGTAAATCGAAGTTCTGTTAACTTTAAGGTAGAAGCCTAGTCATGTTTGACAAAATTGGTCATAAATCGTATGACAATGTCCATTAGTTTAACATGTACAATCATGAAGCTAATGTCCCATGGTACAATGAAATAGCATTATTTTGTGTATTGCAGTTATGCTTTTTGAGAAACGTGTCCTAATATTTCTTGAAAATTGCTATTTTTAGAACAATTCCATAGAACACAATGTTAATGAAACATTGCATTTTTTGACACTTTTTAAAACCCGGATTTTTTTAATAATTTTTTTGACAATGATTTTTTTACGAATATGAAAAAGGGTATATTCGCTGTAAATTGACGAACATATAGTACTTTACAGTTCCATGTTTTTCTCGTCAATGCAATATTTGCACGTTAAAGAGAATTGAAAATACTGACCATCTTTTATTTTTTGGTTTTTCAATAAAATAAAATATGTGAATGTACTAGTATATAAACAGCGAAAGGCAGGTTACCTCGAAATATTGTTTATTTTACTGAAAAAAAAACATTCAAAAATAAGCAAGAGAGTGTATGCAAATCTACCACCACCTCTGAGTCTTCCAAGTTTATGACCGCTATGTGTAGATCATAAGCCACCCTTCCCGTATATGTCAAGGCTCCCTGGAAGCAACAATGGTACACCCTAGTGTTATGACCATAGATCGTTCGTATACAGCCAACCATGCGAATAGCTGGACACCAACGTTTTAACGTTACTGTGTACATAGCACGCGATAATGTGTAGATTTTGAAATCGTTTCTTTTTAATGTCTGCGTATCGATATCATTGCTATGCCATGAATAAATCTGTGTTTGTAGGCTTCATTTTGTGTGTGTGTTGTTTTGTTTTGTTTTGCTTTCATATCCTGCTTCACGGGATTCAATACAAGAAAAAGCCGAAGAACCATAAATAAAATTTTAACAAATTCAAAACGGCAGAGCAGATAAAGCACACAGAGATGAAGAATGAATAGGATGAAAATAGCCACATAGAACACAAAAACGCGATACTGCTTTTAACTACACCAGATTGTAATCAGAATGACACCTTGAATTTACATCTCGTATCTTACTTATAATCTGACGTTTATGGCTCATATACATGAAATTACATGAACGACAATTGAATCTCGATTATGATATATTTATAACTACTCATCTACTCAACAATGAACTTGAGAATAGTCCCCGATTTATTAGCCACCGCCTCCCGTTCTGTATTAACACGTCGCTAAATCGTTATGCGACACGGTATCATAGCCCCGGTGTACTTGCACGGCATCTGGATTCAATCCCCATGATCCCATGAAGTAGGTCTATTTTTATTGTCATCTCTGTTTGGATCCCCTCGATTCACATTATTATCAATCGTAATATGCGTGCATTTTATGCGTGCATTTTATGCGTGTGGATATACTTATCAAAGTACGCACTACAGACTTCCGGTACTCACACATTTAAACTTGAAGTACAGTACCACTACTTATGTGAGATTCAGTGAGAAAAGCGTGCGCCGTAAATCGAAAACCACTGCTATTTTTTACTATGCTGTTACGGTACAGCTTATGGTATGGACGTCCGAAGTTTTACACCATCGCCTGGTATGATCACGCTCAACCGTCACATGGTAATCCCCTTACAAAGTGTTGGTCATGGTCACGGCTGTCCAGCACTTCACCATATAAAGCACAAATTGAATAAAGTAAATAATTGCGTTTATTATCTCCGATTGTTGACAGAGGTAGCCGGCATGTACCGCCAGATATAATAATAATCATAATGTTGTCAAGGGATACGCGCCGTGTCCAAGTTCAAACAGCGATTAATAAATACTTGAGGACAAATGTGAATTTAGTTGATAAAACGACGAGCTAATCAAGCTGGAGCCTGGGGCATACGTTATTCTCTGCGTTCGAAGACAATTATTGAGTATTATTTTGACCAATCAAAATCATTGTTACCATGATAAGAAACTCAGACACTCCCTAATGTTATTTGCATTTCTCTCAGAAAAAATGTAAAGAATTTGTGGTGCTTTTATTTTATTTATTTTTATTTATTGCATTTTTTGTTAGTTAGTAAAATATATATATGACTCCACCGTGGTAACCCTTGGCACGCACTTGTAGCATGTATTTTCAATAGATTACGTGATACGCTAAGCCCCCCAGTAACAATAAGGAGAGATATAAATCAACTATATGTTTAATTTGACAAGGCGTAGAGAAGATTAGAGGCCGATCACTAGGAGACTCAAGTATTGCTGTCACCACAGTCGCAAGTCTACGCCGTATCACCGAGGGTTATTTGACTATAGAGCCGCTACGTCCACGGATTCATAAACGTCACGCAGTCAAACTCTGAATCAAACTCGTTTTCTGACATACCGAGCTGCTTTACTGTATGTTTAGTAAGCAGACGGTGGCTGTGGTGAAAATGAAGTAGTCCTAGAAAGTACTTGTTCTCAAGCCGTGTCCAAGATCTTCCCGAAGAGAGGTGTCATTTTATGATTTTTTTCTCCTTGACGCGGCTGAACGCTTACACAGGTGAGTCGAGCTAGTTAACGTTCCTTCATCAAATTCGCAGATTCGCTGCAACGACACGTACGCTTTATATGTACACGTCTTTCTGGAAGTATTCTTGTTTGCTGACAAAGGTAAGGGTACTAAGCATTCGAATCAATCTGATCGGTTGTCGTTGTTTAATAAAACTTCAAGAAAGTCAAAATTAATTACGCCGAAACATCACCAAATTTATATAGTCGTAGTTCCCACATGAAGCGTAGGCTTAACACCAACAACCTGTTTTCACAAAAATCGTACCATTGTAGTATATAATGACTTAACTGTGTGAAAAAATAGGGCCATTATTAGTAAACTGCATGTGAACACGTACGTAGTTGGGAGTATCGCGGCGCCAACTCGACTGTTGTTCCCGATTTAAAAAAAAACGTGAAAGGAATAAAATTCTACTTTGGAGAGTCGAGATTGTTTTTGACGTGTGTTTATTTTATAACATTTTAAACACGGCCATATGTGACAATTTAAGTATTGTCAAGTTTCTGTTGATCTTGACTGATAATTCATTGTGCATATTCCGCACCGGTAAGACAGTGTGTTTTATACTTCGTTGTAAGATTCTTCACGGGAGCAGTCGGCCGCTCAAACACTGACATGTCGCTTTAATTCGATCTGCGACTCACAGTCCGGCCCCGTGAGACACGGTAGCAGTGAATAGGTACTCTGTGTCCACATCCATACTGTCACTGTCGATGACTACGAACAAGGTATACTATAGACTGTTATCCAGCACACCGCGTGATAGAAGTCTAAAACAACACCTGCCTACACAGATGTGTAATCTAAAACGATATCACGATATATTTGCATTATAATCTGCACATGACAATACAAGACTGAACAATGTAGTCGATAACAATACGCTACTGTGTTTGCGAAGGGATGAGTAATCTCTTTGAATTCAGCAGAACGTTACATCTACCGCAAACAATATCACAATTATATTTTAGCTTGGTAGAATCCAATGAATAACAATAACGGTCATGTCATGCCTAAAAATTATCACATTTACGTAAATACCTTCATATTTAAGTTGTCTAGGATATATTTCACAAGACCGGAATTGAATTCTTTCAGTGAATAAATGTTTCTACGATTTCATGAATATATACGCGTGTTTTATGCCAAGATTTATTGCCTCACAATGGTAGTAATTGTTAAACGTGTTTGTATAGTATCTGAAATAGGTAACAGATTACAAGAAATTTCAACCGACCGTGACAAATTTGATCATCTTGCGTAAATGATCGCCTGTTTAGTCGCACCCTTACGAAGATCACATTATTGTGGCCCGACTGACTGTATATTACGAACATTTAAACCACCTGACAGTAGTTACTGTAAGTCAATTTCAATGTGCCTAGGAATTGTCCGTGATGTGTGACCTACAATAACATACGTCGATGTACCGATAGATTTCCAACTTGACGGAACGTTCTGATACAATGGCATTCTGATTAAAATCTGATGTAGTGTACGGGCTTTAATTATTTTAGCTATAAACTTATTTTAATTTTATTTTTTATTACTTTTGTTATTAATGCCTTTTTTAGTCCCCGTTCGGACGAAGTCCGAAAACGGGGACTTATAATTCGGTCTCCGTCCGTGCGTCCGTGCGTCCGTCCGGAGTCATATCGCAGAATCCCTTGGACCGATCCCGTTCATTCTTTGCATGTGCCTAGTACTTTGTGTGGGACATATGCACATGCAGTGGTTTAGCGATTCGATTCAAAATGGCCGACTGGCAGCCATCTTGTTTTTTGAAAATGTTGTATTTTGGACATGCTTTGTCAGTTTTCATTTAAATTTAGTACATAGATTATACATGTTAGGATACATGTCCATGACCGTCCGTGAGTTCCTGAGTCTGTCCGTCTGTCCGTCCGTCCGTGTGTCAGTCTGTCCAGAGTCATATTTCAGAATCCTGTGGACCGATTCCGATCATTCTTTGCATGTGCCTCGTACCTTATGTGGGACATATGCACATGCAGTGGGCAATCTTTCTGTACATTGTATTTTGCCCACTTGAATAAACCATTAATAGAAAATTGCTAGTATATTTTTATTTACAAAAGAAAATACGCAGCATTTTGCATTTTTTGTCATTACATTGAATATTTTTTTCACTTCCAACAAATGTGTACACTTCCAGATACATCTTCGCCAGGCAAAGGTTCGTTCATTCAGTCATCGC